GCACCTTAACCCCTTTGCTCCCGGCTTGCCAAAGTATACAAATTTAAAATGTTTATTTTCATAGTTATTGCCAAAATGCCATCTGTGAAGTTGTACCAACTACATTTCTGCTTACAATCTGCGAGTATACCTGTTGGTGCAAATCTCAGCCACAAGTACTCATAAATATTGTTGGCATAAGATGATTTCCATTAGTTAATAAAAAAATACATTTCATTATATACTTAAAATTCTTTAGATGTAACCTAATTTAAGCATCTGTTTCCAGGCTTAAAATTATTTGTATTTATTTTTCTGCAAATTATCTATTTATGTCTTATACCTATTTTCTTTCTCATATTGATTTTTGTAAGTAATTATAAACTGAGACATTATTTCTTTTACAATTACATATATACTTATTTTTCTGCATTGTGACTTATTTTTGACTTTCTTATGCCATGTATATACATTTTTTAGTAATAAAAATAAAAATATACAAAACAGTATTAATGAAATATAAGCCCCTCATCCAGTATCTGATTTTTTTAATCACATTTATCAATATTTTATTTAATTTTAGTGTGTTGTTTAAAAATACTTTCCCTGCTTCACTCTCAATATTCTTCCACATTGCTCTATGCATTTAATTTTTTTTCTGACTTCAACTATTCAATTTATTTTCTTTCTTTTTTATTTTTTTATTATTACTTCAACTTCATTTATACATTTAATCACATTACTAGATTCCAAAGTGAAAATTCCAACATGTGTACAATTTGCACCAGTCCAGTGGACAATACTATAAGGTTATCCCTCAACAGATAATAATCCATTTCTTTGTCCCATAAATGCCTTGCCTCACTATTTTTTCTTTAATATCTTTCCTCAGACTCTGCTCATTCACCCACCCTCTTCCCCACTGTATCTGGTATTCACAACCATTTGCTATGTTTTTTTTATATCCTTTACACATTCAGTTTGGGTCATAGAGTGCAGACAGTGTATATTAAGTGGAGACATACAGTGTCTCTCTTATATCCTGATTTGCTTCACTCAGCAGTAAATCTTCCATATTACTACACTTTCTGTCAAAGGCCAGGGTTTTGTTGTTTTTTATGGCTGAGTAGGATTCCATAGAGTATATGTGCCACACTTTTTCAGTCCATTCATCTGTTCGTGGGCATTCCGGTTGGTTCCATGTCTTAGGAATTGTGAATAATGCCACAGTAAACATCAATGTGCAAACACTTTTCTGACTGCAGATTCTTCTGTCATTTGGGTAGATGCCAAGGAATGTGATTGCTGGATCATATGGTAGTTCTATTTGTAAATCTCTGAGGAATCTCAAAATTGTTCCCCGTGGTGGCTGGACCAATTTATATCCCACTAGCAATGTAAGAGAGTTCCTCTTTCACCACACCACCCCCCCCAGCCCGCCAGCACCTATCTTTTTATTTTTTTAATCATAGTCATTCTGACCGTGGTTAGGTCATTTCTCATTGTGATTTTGGTTTGCATCTTCTTTACAATGAAGGATGTTGGTCATTTTTTCATATGTCTGTTGGCTGTTCTTATATCATCCTTAGAAAGTGGGTTTTTCCATTCATTCTCCCATTTTTTAATAGGGTTGATCATGGGTTTTTTTGTTTGTTTGTTTGTTTTTTTCACAGCTACTTGAGTTCCTAGTGTATTTTGGTTATAAGTCACTTGTCTGATGCATAGTTTACAAAAATCTTTCCCCATTCTGAGAGCTGTCAATTCACATTAATTACTGTGTCTTTTGCCATGCAGAAACTTCTTAATCTGATATAATACAATTTGTCTATTTTGAAATTATTGACTGTGCTCTGGGGGTCTTAAGAAGTCTTTGCCAACCTCAATGTCTCTCAGAGTTCCTCCAGTCTTTTTCAGTAGCAGTTTTTTATATTGTTATTATTAATAGTTTTTATTTTATTTTCATTTATTTCTTTTACAATTAAAGTATGAATTTATTTTGGTACAAAAACTTTTTGTTTTTCCACACAGTTTTTCCATTATATGCATTTTCATGAGCTTTCTTTTTCTAAAACATTTATTTTAAT